AGGTACACCTAACTGACGAGTCCCAAATATGATGGTACCCACTTCCTGGATTCCACTGCCAACAACCATCCATCTCTGATTTTTAAAAAATGCTTTTAACTTAATCGCGATATCGGGGCCATGTACGCAGGATACGCATATGCCAACAAGAGACTGATCAATGGGAAGATTCAAATTACCAATACATATGAATTAGTAATCTGGTCTCCTAATTACCAACTTAAGTGCATGACTTAACGACCCCGTTAAAGTGATCGTTGTTAGTTCACTCGTGAAATATGTGAAAATAATATATAGTTTCCTTTAAAAAAAATAATAAGATCATATTTAAATGGTTTACATTTGTTTAGTTCTGTCCGAATTCAGACAAATTGGATGTTACAACTGATCTCGACTGCATAATTGTTACGTCATCAAAATGAATACTAATTTAATTGAGAATAATTTTCATAGTTCATCCTTAATTGTTCACATTCATATGTTTTCACACAAAATAATGTTTCATACAACATGATGCTCCTTTACTTATTTCTAAATATTCTGAGGTCAAGTCATTAACTTGTTTTAAATAATAAGTAGCTGAACAAATCTAAAATGAGACAACAAATATATTTGTTACATTATCACATTAAAATATGAGAATTAAAGCGTATGGTTAATTCCCCATCTCTTGAATTATTTACAACTAATTTTATACGTCAAGATGACAACAAAATAGCTTCAACAATAAATAGCTTCATCTGACTCATGATCTCAACTATTAAAATTACAATAATATCCACAAACTCCTTTCTGATACTAATCAACAAATGCTCACTAGTTGACTGGCTTCAAGAGGTATTTCCTGGAGTTCTAGTGAGAAGCAGTGACCACTGGAGTTCAACCGGGTCTGTTGCGAGGTAATAACTCACTGAAGGCATTGGTGAATGTGTCGCTCAATTTCATGGATTGGTTGAAGTTAGACATTAACACCGTTGGATCCCGGCCGGCTCAATGGGCTAGAGGTTAGGCGTTCGCGGGCGAAACCGATAGGTCCTGTGTTCGAATCTCGCGAGGTGGGATCGTGGATGCGCACTGCTGAGGAGTCCCGCAGTGGGACGAAACGGCCGTCCAGTAATCCCAAGTTTTCCGTGGTGGTGTAGCTTCAATTTACTCATAATCTCAACTATTAAAAATAACAAAACTAAAGTTTGTATGGATCAAATCGACATCTATCAATCTCTGGTTCTATGATAACTATGAGTCATCAGTCCCAGAGGTAAAAAATCTTCACAAAAAATGGATGATTTATTCGTGCTTATATGATATTTGACATTCTTTTTTAAAACTAACATTAACGTAACTATCAGTAAGTATAATACATTTTATTTTGTATTTAATTCCATTAGTTAGCATTACATTTTACAATGTTGTTTCTTCGAATTACACAAACAGATAAGTAAATGTTCAATTCTATAAAGTATTCACATCTTATTTTCTTGAAACAACCATCTATCAGCTATTGACTAATTCTTATCAAAATACAATCCATATTCAATTATGTTTATTCTCATTTAAAGTGTTAATAGACTAATAGAAGCTTTTCTTTTCTTTTTGTTTAAACGTGAAAAATTGTCCTCGTTGTTCACAATTGAATAATTTTATTGATCTGTGTTCATCAAAGTCATCTGGTGAAAAATTGCTTTCTTTTTTAGAAAAAAACCCCGTTGTCAAGACAGATAGATATGAACATTAGAATTACTATTCCTTCTTGACATTAACAATAATTCAGCTAAGTGGTAGCAAGTGAATTTAAATGATAAAATAAGTTTTGAAGTAATAATAATCATTTCTTTTTCTTAAAAAAAAAGGTAGCAGAGAGAAAAAATGACTAGAAGCAAAACTAAACAATAATAAAATGACAACAATTTGTGAAAAACACACTGTATACCACGTATTTTCATTTAGGTGTACACTGTGAGGTCATATTCAGTTCAGTTTCTATATCAGTATACACTATAGTTTCTATTCATATTAAATTAACAATAATAATAATAACATGTATGAACATGGTTACTTGTATAAACTCAGATAGATGAATAAGAAAGTAGTAACATATGTACACATGCCTAAGTGAAAAATAATTTTCATGTACAATGGAGAAAAGCATTTGTCACTCGCAAAATATTTTTTCACTTTTTTTTACAATGTAACAACCTACCTACCTTAGTACTCAGTATTTTTGTGTGTGTTTTAGTTACCCTCAAGGTGAGTAATTACAATTAGAAATATTTAAAAAAAAATCAACTTATCATGAATACAAACATGGATTTTACCATTTTAACATAAATCAATCGATCGTTAACATTAGAAATATATCTTCTTTAGTAGTTCACATCTAGCCTGGAGATATTTTGGGTATTAGGGGAGGGTGCATGAGGAAAGCTGAAAAAAAAGGACAAGAGTTAAGGTGATTCTACGACCTGGCAAATGCACAGAATTCACTTACACTTAATAACAAAAACAGTCGACAAGAGTTAGCAATAACACAAGCGTGAAACTAAGACATTCTGATAATCTAGACTAGAATTTGATGGAGTAAGAAAGTTTTTGAATTCGTTACACTTCAGTGGTAATAACACCCCATTTATCCAATACTACGTGTTTAGTCAAAATCTAAGATTCCCAGCAAAAAATATGCATGAAATGTAAGCGGATGCTTTGCAAAAATATTAAAATGAAGTTATACAACAGCGACCTATCTACCATTTTATCCTCAACTGAAAAACTTTAATATCAATTTCTTTCTTACAACCATTTATACTAGTAAAGGTATTAGCAAGCATTTCCATTGCATTTTGCATGTGTATTTTTTGATGTAGTTTCATATTTGTTCTGTTAAAGATAAGTCTACGATGAAAAAATTTCTCACTCACTGCAAAGTTTTGTTATGATAGCATGTGCAAAATAAGGTAATATCATCTGTCCAACAACATTGATTATTGAATCAATATTTAATATAATCATGTTAATAACTTGTTTCGTTACTCTTTATACAACAAAATTGTGCTCTTTCAAATATGTTCTCATTTAACATTAGAACCAATCAAATGGTTATGTATAAAGTAATTAACTCCGCCTGGAGCCTCTCTGGGGCTACTGCCGGTCCCAAGCCTGGATAAAGGAGGAGAGTTGTGCATGGAGTTAGCATCCCCATCCCTTAGAAAACTAACTCGCTGAAAAAACGCTAACCAGTGTAAAATAAGATGGTCATAGTCATTAATTCAGAAAAACATCCATGAGAAAATAACTTATATACAGAGCTGTTGATTAAAAGATGAAAAATTCAAAAAACCCTGGTTGTTAGCATCTGTTTTAAGAGGTCACTTAATGCTTCTTACCATTAATTTATGTCAAACATAGAACCTTCACCAATTTTGAGCTTTGATTTAATAGATTTATAAGCATTAGCAAAATATAGAAACTGTTACCTTTCCCTCTACTAACGTACCCCATCTTAGTAGTTACCTTCATTAATTACTGTTGAAATTTCCTGAAAAACTTAGAAAGGTGGTTGGTTCATGATCCCATTACTTCAAATGAAAGATATTCACATTGAATCGGTATAGGAAGCCTCCGTGTTTATGTAGTGCATCTCTTGATGTCTATGAAGATTTTCGTTCAAACAGATAATTGCTGATCACTTAGTAATAATACAAATCTTTTACAATCAAATGAATTTACTTTACTTCAATGTGATGACTCCATCAGATACAAATGGTACTCCTAAGGTACTTGTAATTATATTTCTTCATCATTCTAACAGTTATATACCGGGGAATAACTGAACACTAGTTCACTAAGCTCAACTCTTCATAAGTAAGTAAATTATTGAACTTCTAATGTTAGACAACACTATTTGAGTGTGCTTTAAATGAAAAGAAAGATTCAGACTGTTTCGTAAAAAGAAAACGGTTTATTCGTGAAACAAAATACTGTAACAGAATATTTAAATTTCACATAAAAATTTAAAGATGATGTTAAAATTGAACTACAAGAATGAAGGTAATAGAGTATGATAAGTCTGAGAGAAACCTTATGTCAAGACAACTTGATTTCAAAGGTGAGGAAATATCTGAGAAGATTGATTCGAAGGTAAGGACTTCATTAAAAAGAACTTGATAGGCCCTAAAAAATATTTTAATTGGTCAAATGAATTCCTCGTTAAAAAAATGAACAGATACTCCCGTTAGGTTACTCTGAATTGTGTATATCAAGTTACATGTACATGACGAAGCACAAGTAGTGGAAGAAAAGGAAAGTTAACGTTCGCATCTCCAAGCACACTCCTTAGAAATTGAGACAAAGAGGTCAACACGCCTTCAATATTATGACTGCCTATCATCTACCTAATATTGTATATAAAGTTGAGATTTCAAAACAATTCAAAGTTATTGATAAACAAACGATCTCCAAGTCTACGTTTTGTCTAAATCAAATACGTTAAATCGGATTTGTACATTTATAACGATGTTGTTATCACTTTGGCATCCCCCCGGTGACCTCAATTTCCAATGTGTAGTTGCTCAACAATTTGTATCTACAATAAGAAATTCACTTTTCTCATTCTTTCTTGGACTTTATTTGAGCTCCACTTATTTTAATCTAATAATCAATCCTTTTTGCTGTTATTACGTAACTTTTAATATTTTTGTGATTAATCTGTCTCTATCCTCTTTTAAAATTCCCTACTAGAACTTCCATATTATTATTATTATTACCATTTTATGAATCCTTATTGATGAGAACATTTTTAATCTAAAGTATGTACACAGTTTATTTTTTGGAATAACTGACACCATTACTTCTAAACTGTATGTAAGCACACATCACACAATTCTCCTACTTTTATGGCAATATCGGTCAAATATTTTTTCCTCATTAAAAGTTGATTTATTTTATTTAAAATACTTAATAACTAATTGTAATCCTTATTTATTTAAACAAAAGTCTGACCAGTATACAACTGAAAAAAAATGTATTTACTAAACAAAATGCATTAAACTATGAAATTAAAGTAGTATATTATAAAGTAGTCTGTAATGCACATTCTTAATTCATTTTGTCCCATCCTAATTGTAACCAAATTTTTTCAAGCCATAATTGAACATCTTGATCATGTAATAATATAACAGAAAATAAATTTGAACGTAATTCAATGGGTAAACTATGACGTAAACGATTACGTAATTTCAAATCAATCATTAATTGATTAAAACATTCTAATGTAAATTGTAATAAACGTTTAGCTTTTATAAATATTATTTTATCATATTGCTCATATAAATGAATTTTATGCTTAAATTGTTGTTGTATTTCAATAGTGAATTTTTGTACCATATATTGAATCATTTGTGTAAGACATGAAATTAATTCATTAAATAAACTATAATTATGATAGAGACGAGTTCGTTGATTTGGACAATTCAATAAACGTGCTAATAAAATAAGTGTTATAGTTTTTCCAATTTCAGTATGACATTGAATTAATGCTTTCAATGTTTGTTTAAATAAATCATTTAAAACATAATAAGTATTATGAATAGAATTAAAATTCACTTGTTTATCGGTTATTTCTAATCTTTCTTCACTTATTGTTTCATCATTGAAATATGTATTAGATTCTGGCAAAAGAAAATCTTCTATTTCATTGATTGATAATTTACTTGTTACTGTAGCATATAAACTTAATAAACTAATACGTAAATGTTCAGTATCATCAGTTTGACATTCAATGTTAAAATAAGGTAATAAATATGTTAAAAGACCTGTGCTAATAAAATCAATACGAAATTTGTTGTTGAGTATAATTTGTTGAAATATTGCAATTATTGAACATATAATCTGAAAAATAAACAGAAAAAAAAGAACCCCCACCAGAAATAGAGAGAAATTAAAAAAAACAATCAAATAAATATATAAGTTTTTGATTGAGATCATGAACCGATTGATGTTAGACCACCGCAATTGAGAACCTGGAAGCACTGGACGGTCGTTTCGTCCCATTGTGGGACTCCTCAGCGGCGCGCATCCACGATCCCGCTCACGGGATTCGAACCCAGGGCCTTCGATTTCGCCCGCGAACGCCTAAGCAACTGGACCACTGAGCCGGCATCCAATGGTGATAGTTTTTAACATCAATCCAGGTTTTCAATTGTGGTGGTCTAACATCAATCGGTTCATGACCTCAATCAAAAACTTAATAGTCTTCACAACTCCTATACTAGTAATCAACATGTGCTCACTAGTGACTAGCTTCGTGAGGGAATTCTCGGAGTTCTAGTGAAAAGCCGTGACCGGTGGAGCTAATCCTTGTCGGGTAGAGACAGGTATCTACCTCAGTACAACGGAAGTCGGTCGCGCAATTCCGTGGATTGGTTGATGTTAGAAACTATCACCATTGGATGCCGGCTCAGTGGTCCAGTTGCTTAGGCATTCGCGCGTGAGACCGAAGGCCCTGGGTTCGAATCCCGTGAGCGGGATCGTGGATGCGCGCCGCTGAGGAGTCCCACAATGGGACGAAACGGCCGTCCAGTGCTCCCAGGTTTTCAGTTGCGGTGGTCTAACATCAATCGGTTCATGATCTCAATCAGAAACTTGATAATCTCCACAACTCCATACTGACCATTAAATAATAGTCCACATATTTACCCTGTTCAATTAAACTGTTTCACTGAGCACTTAAGAATGAAAACATTAGTTCTAATGTCTCAATGATTTTCAAGTCTAACAAGTTTTTCGTTCAACATCGAAACTAATATGACACACAAATATGCGTTCCAATTTCCAAACAATGCTGATCGAGGAAGTCTGGTTTTTCGTAATGTTTATGACGAGCTTTTTTATATCTCACATAGGCATTCAATTTCAAAAATACTCCATTTGCCCGCTGAATACATCATATTCAAATTAATGTAAAGTCTGCAGATCGCAATTTTTGTCTAACCGCCTTGTACAACGAATTCTTTCACTTGCGTTCCCAATATAACTAGCTCTAGCGGAGTTGGTGAACATTTAGATTGATATAAAAGATGGATTAACATGTATTATCTTTAGTTACAACTGCTAAAAACATTAGATTTAATTGTGGGGTAAACAAGTTGAATGTAGTATACATTTTCTGCTGAGAATTCCTAATATACCGACACAATTCTATTGGTGACATCACCTCTGTACTCCAGTTTTAAAAACAGTAGTGCCGTGGTTGTTATTATTTCTGGCTTTATCTTAGACTAGTTCATCTAGTTATTTATAAATTTGTTGTGAACGAGAACATAGGTAGGGACAACAGATTATATCCGAACACAAAACTAAAGAATCTCATCGTAAAACATGAGAACCATACATTGCATACTTCGTTTGCAAATATCCATCATATATACTTCAAATTCTGTATAATTCATTCCCATCCTTTTCAATTAGATCTTCTTAGGCCTCTGAAGACAGGGTTTCCACTTCCAATTGATGTTACATACTACTTATGCCGACAAATATAAGTAGCATACACCACAGTTCTTCTAAATATTTATTTCTACTAAATGCATTAAAGATAGTATTTAGTTCTTTTAAAAATGGTCTTTTGTAACTAAATTAATTCAACTCAATAAGTTAAACCTTCACTGAATCCCTGTTATATGTACCATAGGGTTTGTTGCATCAAACATACTAGCATGTTGCTCTATAAACTCCTGAACAATTTCCTTGGTAGTTAGTCAAGTTAAAATCAAGAATATTCAAGAGTTCTTCGTTTTCTCACTTGATAAATAGACACAAGATATCGAATGGACTTAAATAAAATCTTTATATGCACAGAAGCACATGATTTCAGTGACAAAAAGTAATTATAAATGATGATTAACAAACCTTATTTATTTAACGATAAAAGATTAAATGATAGATGAGTTGATTTTTACACACACACACACACACACTTACTTCAAATGATTCTGATGAAAGTGATATACTTTTATCAGTTGGATAATGTTGTACAATTTCTAGGAGTAATGCAGCTATAATACCTGGACGTGAATAAATTAAATATCCTATATCCAATTTATTATCATCAATAGATTTACAAATGTCAATGATAGCAGTTTTACGATAATGTGGATTAATTATTTGATTAGATAATTGATTCATATTATCTAAATATAAATTTGAAACTGTATCATTATGACATTTTGAATGGGTCAATTTAAAGTTGAAATCTAAATTTGTATTATTCAAATTTATTGTAGTATTTTCTTGACTAAAATGTTTTTCTTTAAGTAGTGAATTATGCTTTGATGTATGCGAATAGACTAAACATTGAATTTCATTATTTTGAATAGTCAAATTCTTAGAATGATTTTCCATTGTTCATCGAATACATATCATGATAAGACCATTTATACAATCATTTATGCGTATATATTATTTATATGAACAAATAATGAGTATTATTCATAGTCTGTTTTGTCTTCTCTATCAATTAAGCAACATTATTACGTAATATACTCGGAGTAGTAACTTTTTGTCCAAAGTATAATACAAATACCATTTTAGATTAGATCAATATATGTTTAGGTCATTAAGTGATATTTTAATAAATGAAAATAGTCAAAGATTGGTCATAGACCTTCTGCTGGTGATTAATTATCAATAGTATGTATTGAAGTAATTCATATTTAATCTGAAAGTTATCCAATTGTTGGAAATCAATAGGTAGCTTTACAATCAGTCAATTATCTCGTTTATTTAGATTTTAAGTTTACTAAATAAAATAAACATCTGTATTCTATAAATTGGTTGTATAAATAGTTCTGTTGATTAGTAATGATACACTTTATAGGGATCCTTAAAGATAATACAAGTGATTTATTTCAATTCCAAGTAGAATAGTTCTATCTCCTTTACTGATGCAACATGTTGTAACCTGAGTATTTAGCTTTTCTCCACTTCTGTAAATTGTTGAAAACGATCTCATATAAAAACTAACCGTTTTTCGATTATTATTATTATTATTATTATTATTATTATTATTATTATTATTATTATTATTATTATTATTAGTGTCACTTATGTATTCTGATAATGGATACCAGCGGAATTCAAGAAGCACGTTTGATTATATTTAAGACTTGTAAGTAAATAATTAAATATATGGACTAATGGTAAGCAAGGAACTGGCAAGAGGTACTCAACGACTCTCAGTTTCACTCACCCATGTGTAATCAAAAAGTACCCCAAAAAAATAATAATAATGTTTACCCTGTCGGTTGTACTCTCCGAGAGGGAAATTGTCTACTCTTAAACACAAGTTTGTCATTAATAAGGTACAACTAAATGAAACACTCAATGGTCATATCAATTCGATATCGATGATAGAATAATTATTAATTGGTCAGAATATAAAAAAATGAATTCCATTAATTGGAAAACTCCATTCCACACTGAAGAAACCCTACATTTAATAAACAATGGACAAACCCTGATAATCTCTTGTAACCACTATGGTACTATGCGACTTTGTTCACAACATCATCAACGTTCTTACACAAGCCGCGAACCAAACAGTATGATATCTTATCTCTGTGTATCTGTCTATAAAGATGATGTACTTGTGTACACTTGAACGAGTTAACTTCTTAAAATACAAAATGTTATCCATTTTCCATTAATAGATTGATAATACGATATATCTAGTTATTTAAACAAAACTACTCCATTATTTTAACTTAAATGTATTAAAACCTAGGGTTAAGTTGTCAGCAAATACTGTCACCTTACGAATCAGTTTACTTGTCTTCTAAATTGTAGTATATTTTTTGTGACAAGATAAACTTATTCACAATGTAAGATGTTATTTGTTAACATATGGATAGCCATCTATAAACATTATATATATATATTCAGAAAAATGGAGGATCAGGATACTTTGTTTTCGCACCCATCTCTTAACCATGTATATAAACATTTTCAGTTGTCATTATGACGAGAAATACAATTATTCTACCCACATTACCACTTACCCCATATATGAGTCATATCATTAGTGTTTATCTAGGCAAAAATGTACTATATGAAGTTGGGCTATATCACAAAAATACATTTCAAAGTCATAGGTACTTGTTCCAAACTAGATCCTCTCCGTCTCTATTATCCTAAATCAAGACTATAATACTTACACGTATATGTGAAAGCGTTCAATGTGTCATCTTAGTGTCAGTATTGTTAGTAAAATTATTTTAAAAAAACACAACAAAAGACAGATGATACTTCAATAGTATTTAACAAAAAATTAAGTGCAATACATAGTTGATTGTGCATATGTTCGTGAGAATTGAGGAAAGGATATAGTCTCTTTAATTTAGTACAATAAATCAGAGGTTTGATCAATGTAAGTAGTCTGGTGATTGAAAAAAAAAAATACAATAACATTAAATGAAACTACTAATAATAATAGTAACTATAAAAATAACATGAAACATATGGTTGGTGAATAAAAACAATGTTGGTAGAATGAACGTACTCTGCCCTTTTATTCGTTCAAGTAACAATGTTTGTATAAGTAATAGTATTAACAATAAAGGTGAGTGGCTTCTAAAAGTATTCAGTCTAGGTAGACGTAAGAAAGAATAAATATACGTATACTTATGAGTTTACAAAATGAACTTTTAACAAATAGATTATGTTTTCTCTATCTGAACCATTCACCAAATCATTCTATTGATTATGTATAAAATTCTGTAGAACATAACAGTATCTATGCTGAAATTATCGAGTAACGTTTTGAGAAACTAAAGTTTTGTTCCTAGATTTCTTGTTTGTTTTCTTCCCATTAGCAAGGTTTGACTTCATGCTTAAAGATGAATGATGACACTTTTAGAGCTTCATACTCATGTTGATGATTGAATTAGTGACAGGTATTACCATCTAGCCAGGAAAAAAAACCGTAGATGATAATTAATGGTTTGGAAGAACACATAAGCGATTAGATTGTCATTATTATTTACACGAATATGTATGAATATTTGTAAAGGTATATAAAAATATTCAGCCAATCAAGGCAATCTATGAGTTAATGATGATACTGAAATATATGACAAACACAAATAATCGGTAAAAAGTACAGATCGATAATAAAAAGACAAGTGTACTATTAGTGATAAGAATAATAAAATGATCTAAGTTCTAGCCAATAATGATACAAGAAAGATCACTATAGCAACAAAAAAACTTGACTGACATTTTTACATAGTATATTTGTTGTTCAATTCGCATAATATCAGGGTAACCTGTTTTAATAGACTGAATTATTGGTACAATGATATTCGTTTGTTTGGATCCCTAAATATTATACTACTAAGTTGTCATGTGAATACGAAGTAAAGGTATGATCATATTTGAGTAAACTAGATAAATAATACCTATTTTAATTGAACTAAATGGCGGTTATTCAGTCAATATCTAGTTCACAAATCTTGAACATAACTCAATACTTAGCAATTATCAAGTTATTATCTTTAATTTTAAACATGCTGAAATTTTTTTCCGTATAGTGGTTACTTCAAACCAACTGATGACCGATAAGATACACGTAGTGTACTTACTAAAAATCTTACCGGGACATATGTATTTTTAGATATATTATTTAGGTCTATGAGCAACATTGGTAAGAGACTGATTGAAATTTTCCGTTCTATTATTCAGGATCAAATTAACTAATCAATGGTATTTTTCAAATTCATGTATCTAGCCATGAGTAGGCATAATTCATTTATGATATGAGTTAATACAAGTATTCTAAGCAGCTTGTGTACATGAAAAAATCTCACGAATGAAAAAGAGAAGGGTAACGTACATTAGACTTTGAAACAAAATTCATCAACTTTAGTTAGAAAATAATTAACCTTCTTCTTAAAACATACAGCTCATTTGACCTCCATGTCTTCATTTCATTTGTTCATGCGAACTTCTTAACAATCACTGAAGATGAATACATATATTGGTTTATCATCAGTAAATTAATGCAATTACGGTGTGTAGTATTCAATGAAATTCATATCATCTTTTGGATTGTCTTCAACACACTTAAAATTGAATTACTAAACAAAGAAACAGAATGAGATGTTATGAAACAACTATCTCAATTATCATAATTTAAAGAGGAATCTGTAAGATTTATTTCATTCTCTTTACTACTCTTCGAGTGGTTAATCATGTATTCCAATGGTTATATACTTATTTTGAAAGTACTCCAAAAGAGATTGTTTCAGCTCTAAAGTAAGATTTACTGATTAACAATTTAATTATATTTCTACTTCTTGAAATTACGTAATCACTGATCGAACTGATGAAAATGACAGAATTAGAGGTTGAAATAAACTTCATTTAGAATAATGATAACAAAATTTTTAACCGTTTTCAGGAGTGGCATTCCTACAGTTGAAGAATATATGAAACTCAAAACAACTGACAACCAATATCAAAGTCACAATCTTCAACACGAACGCCAAGGTATTTCTACTGTACGGAGCTGAAACTTGAAGAACTACCATAACCATCATCAAAAAGTAAAAGTATTTATAAACAATCGTCTACTCAAGATACTCAATATCTGCTGACTGAATGACATCAGTAACAGCATACTGTGGAAAAGAACAAACCAACTTCCGGCTGAGGGGGAAATTAGGAAAGGATGCTGTGAAAGGATAGGACATACATTGAGGAAATCCCCAAACTGCATCACGAAGCAAGCCCTAACTTGGAATCCTGAAGGGAATGACAAAAGAATACACTGTATCGGGAATTGGAAATAGACATGAAAAGGATGAATAGCAACTGGAAACAACTAAAAAAAGATTGTCCAGGACAGAGTTGGATAGAGAATGCTGGTGGGTTTCCTATGTTCCTTCACGAGGGATAACAGGTGTAAGTAAGTAACTAACTATTTATCTTATAAATTTGGATAAATTTAGTGATAAACTAACCGGACTGTTTCAAAAAGTTCATCTAAGAATGATATGAATGCATAACAACAAGAATCATAAAGTTCACCATAGTTTCAAATCAGACAATTCGAACATATTAATTAAACCCAGATATCATGTTAAATATTTTTATGTAATAATTGTAAAAAAAAATCATTCATTCAAACAAAAGTTTTATTCATAGTATCACTTGTATTGAAATATAATTGATAATTGATTACCAAAATTAAATTTAAAGTTTAAATGACTTTGTTTTAATTAAGCTAAAATATATTATTTAAAGATATGGTATACTAGGAATCAAATTTTATGAGATACAATGTAGTATATCACTGTAATATTCATATAACAATATAAACAGGCTTTTATTTATTTACATTACAGTAGTATTGTTATCTATCCAACCTTTCTTAACTTCATCTTT